ACTCTCTGAAATATTCTCGGCTGTTCAGGTGAGCAAGCTGCCTTTTCAAAGGGCTGGCCGTGTGTCTTCGGTAACTGACTGAATGCTGAATTGCCAAACTGTTATTTCCCATCAGCCACTGCTGATTACAAGCCAGCCCCACCCCCAAAAAACCCATCCACTGGTGCTTTAGGGTTGCGCATTCAGCAGAAATCTTCCCTATGGCACTTGTGAAAGCCACTTTGCACCACTCCTGCAATTGGATCAGAACTCACGACTCTTGTGCCCAACTGAAGACAACCAGGCTTGGAAGTAAGGTCCATTGGCATGGCTCTGATTAGAGGTGCATCCCTTTGTCCCTTGCTCTGGCACCGTTGGGGGAATAATGGGAGGCGGGGGAAGGAGTATTCTTTGAATAGCTCCCTCTCAAACCAAGATCAGATACTGGAGAAAAACTACTCAACTAAAAAGTTATATGAAATTTGTCAAATAAATTAGACAAATACGAATTGGCTCTAGTCTATGGCTCCTTCAGCAGAGTCAAAGCCTGTTTCCTTCCATTACAGGCCCGAGTCACATCCTCAGCTGGTAGAAACGGACACGGCTCTCCTGAAGTCAATGCTTTGTCTAGCTTGTACTCTCCATCCACCTTGCAGCCGCTTCTCTCAGTTCTATGCCACTGCCAAGACGCTGGGTTAGTTATCTATGCTGGAGGGGTTTTCTCAGTAAGAACATGTTGTTCTCTTCTAGAACAGGATGTCCCTTTTAATCCCAGGATATAATCCCTTTGGTTCAGGGCCCTATACACACATTTTCTCCCATGCACTTTTATATAGGGTGTGAGGTTCCAAGATATTTCTCTCTCTGGCTTCACACATCAAAAAGTGGAGTATTACTGTTTATTCAACGCTGTACATTTGCATAGCAGTTTATAAAACACAGCTGCTGCCTCTTGCGCCAAATGAGGTAATGTCTATCTAGAAACCCCTCCACAGGCTGGGTGCTGCTCACCCTCTTCCCCAAATGCATTCTGAGGTTTAACTCCAAGCATTCCAGTTAACGGGCTCACGATTTAACCGGGAGATCGATGGCAAAACGCATCAGTGGAAGTTTCAACTGCAGAACTTGCTCCCCTTGTGCAACCGTCACTTTTTGCATCTGCTGATTTTCAGAACCTGGGGCACAAACCTGCTGTTTGGAGGATTGCTTCTCTAAGCGATTGGACAGGAGGCCTCGGGGCAGCCCAGCTTCCCCAAAGGTATTTAGGCACCTAACTCCCACTGATGTCAATTGGGAATTAGGCACCTTTGAGGATAGTAGTCCTCATATTTAAAATGACTAACAGATGAGCTGATGATTAAAGTGGGGGAATGGCCACTTCCTTTTAAGACTTGCATGAGCAAAGAGATGCATTTTATTCTGCTAAATGCGCTTGGCTGATCCCTTTACAGCTACATTAGGCAGCAAGGGCAGAGTTTACATGCAGACTCCCGGCCGAACAAGATTACTCCACAAAGGAGTCTCACAAAGCTGGGAGACTGGGAGACAAATGGCAGATGAAATTCAATGTTGATAAATAAAAGTAATGCACATTGGAAAACAATCTCAACTACACATACAAAATGATAGGGTCTAAATTAGTTGTTACCACTCAAGAAAGATCTTGGAATCATCCTGGATAGTTCTCTGGAAACATCTGCTCAATGGGCAGCAGCAGTCGTAAAAAAAAAAACAAAAAAAAAAAAAAATCGAACAATGTTAGGATCTGTTAGGAAAGGGGATAGATAATAAGACCAAAAATATGCCATTAGATAAATCCATGGTACGCCCAAACCTTGAATAATGCATGCAGTTCTGATCACCTTGTCTCAAAAAAGATATTAGAATTGGAAAAAGTACAGAGAAGGGCAACAAAAATGATTAGGGGGTACAGAGCAGCTTTCATATGAGGAGAGTTTAAAAAGATGGACTGTTTCCGCTTGGAAAAGAGACGACTAAGGGGTGATGTGATAGAGGTCTATAAAAATCACAAATGGAGTGGAGAAAGTGAATAAGGAAGTGTTCTTTAGCCTCTCACATTACACAGGAACCAGGGGTCACCCAATTAAATTAATAGGCAGCAGGTTTAAAAACAAACATAAGGAAGTACTTCACCCAGTGCACAGTCAACTCATTGCCATGGGACATTTTGAAGGCCAAAAGTATGGGTTAAAAAAATAATAAGTTCATGGAGGACAGGTCCATCAGTGGCTATTAGCCAAGATGACCAGGGATGCAACCCCATGCTCTGGCTTTCCTTAAACCTCTGATTGCCAAAAGTGGATGATAAGGGATGGATAACTCAGTAAGTTGCCTTATTCCATTCAGTCCCTCTGAAGCAACTAGTACTGGCCACTGTCAGCCAACAGGATAGCGGGCTAGATGGACCATTGGTCTGACTGAGTAGAGCCATTCTTCTGTTCTTTCAAATCCATACAGAGTAACACAGGTCAAGATTACTTTGATGTACTGCCTTGAGCTTGTTACTTTAAGACTGTGTGTATACTAAATAGTCCAAATAGCCATTGAAGTATGAAATTACTTCAGTTTCCCTCCATGTGTGCAAAATACAGGTGAAGGCAGGTAGTTTGCTGGCTTTTGAACAGATGAAACAAGAGACCTGCTTGGTTAAAACCGGTTAGCACAATTCTATGCTAGTATCTTTCCCCTCCTCACACTCATGTTATATTCCTTGACACCGCACAATCCTAACTTAAACTCGACAGTTTTCCCACGTCTCAGCCTACAGCCAACTGCTTCTACTTGGGATACTTGAGAAACACGTGCTGAAGATACCTAGAGACCTAAGTTCTTCAAGTTTGACTGGTAATGTAAAGTAATGGAACCTCATTAGCAAAAAGTGAGTTACATATAAAAGCCATTTTTATAGAACCATACAGCAGCTACATGCAAAGCTAGGATCTTACTGTAACCCTTGTCCTCACTGACTTCAAACTTCTGCGTCACCCTCTCCTTGCATCATGTACAAAATTAGATCGGATGCTGGTCGAGTGATAGCAGCTGAGTCTTTCATGTGTGTGGGAGGTGCCTATAGCCCCCACAACGTTCTGAAGTGGCATTCAGCTGAGGGCTTATCTCCACAGGGAAGATTACTAGCATAGCCAGTGGTAGAATTCCCTATGTGGACACTTGTATCCACAAAAAGGAAGGCTCTTTTCTGATCTTTACACTGCTTTCAAAGCAAATTAAAAATCAGAAAACAAGCACTCTTATTCAGGAAGACAAGCATGCACATGGGAGTTTTAGTAGTATAGCTAGACCAGTAATTTTCTCCATCTGGACATCATGTCCTTACAGAAGATTAAAGTTCCTCATAACAAATGCTTAAGTTTCTTCTGTTCCAGAATTATTCTTTGGAGGGGCTGTGACTTGCTGGATGGAGTAAAGCCTCTTTAGGGGGTTATGTTCAAGTTTGAAAGAAAAAAAAAAAAAAAAAGAGACCAGAGTGAAGTGTAAGCAGAAGCGTTGCCAGAACTCTGAACCAAAAAAAAAACAACACTAGAGAAAAAAGTCTAACACCCCAATAAACTTATCCACAGGACTTAACTGCACCATCACTGGTTAGTCTCTTCCCATTAGTTTACCTCAGCTGTCAGCACAATTAGTTTCAAGTGGTTTTGCTTTAAAAGATGAAGGATTTTTTTTTTTATATATAAGAAACTCACTGAGGGGTCAGATGGCATAGCAAGCAACATTTAATCCTCTGTGCAGTGATAAGAAAGCAGCAATGGACACGATACATTGTGGCACATTCAGGGCCGCATGTGTGATGAGTGACTGTGCCTCCATTTTTATCCCAATTTGAGGCACTTTGGGGAGGCCTGATTGTCTCAGGCTTGGGGTGCTCAACACTTTCTAGGTGATCTGCAGGGAACAGCCCTGCTTCAGGAGCCAGCTCCAGGTCCTCTCGCTTGCTCTGCTTCCCCTGCTCCACAGCAGTATGTGGGGGAAACGGTGGTAACATGAGGAAGCTGCCATGAGAGGGTGTGGGAAGGGCCAGGGCAAAAACAGCAGGAAGGGGAGATTGCTGCTGGTCAGCTATAGAAACCACAGCATTTTGCCTATTCTCCCCTCTGCACCATGATTCATGGGGTGGGACCCAGGCGCACCCTTCTTCCAAGGCATTTGCAAATGATACTGCACTGCTTGCACAATTCTGTTCTGGGATATGGGAACAAGGAATTTCAATGCCATACCAATGTCCGGCTCACCCCTAATGCTGTGCATGCCTGTTGATGGGACACTGAAAATCTTTGTAAATGCTCATGCGATAAGCCTGCCAGCAGATCACTCGAAGACATACAAGGGCATTTATAATGCCCCACCCTCACTGTAGTATCTAGGCAACTAAAGCCAACCTATGCTGTATCAGGGTAGGTCTATACAGCACCTGGCTGTGAGCCTCCAAGCCTGGGTCAGCAGATTCAAGCTCTCACTACTGCACTACAAAGAATGATGTAGACTTCAGAGCCCGGGCCATGACATTTACAAGGCTATTTTTAGTCACCCCAGGCTCAGAGGCTCACTGCTGCGGGCTGTGTAGACATACCCTCAGTGGCTTGAAAGTCACAGGAACCACTGTCAACCAATCAGCAGCCACCATTACTTTCTTTCCCTGGATAGGAAAACACTCGCCACTTCAGGCAATTAACCCTCTATTACACCTGCACTGATGAACATTCTGATGGACCTGCTAAGTTGCATAGCTTTTAACTCCCTTCAGTGGGAAAGGAAGAGACCTGTTTTACCATTACTTCCATCCCCTGTAACCACGTGCTACAAAATTAGTCTGAAACAGTATTTATATTTGAGATGGCACATGTCAGTTTAAAAATAAAATGGCTATAAACTATTCATTTACCCCTATTTCAAGTCAGGTTATTTTTTCCCTTTTCGATTAGACGTGGCAGTACAACTTAGAAGAAAGTCTCGGAATTACACCAGACAGTAACATCATGGAGTTTAAATACAAAATCAAATACTTTAATGAAATTAGGGAGCATGGGAACAGCTCAGATATACCACTAAAACGGATACCACTGAGCTGCGGACTTGGGCTGGTTTTTTTTTTTTTTTTTTTTTACACCTTCTGTTTTTAAACAAGCAAGCAGATTGACAAACTACCAATTCTTCAGAGTGTCAAAGATCCTGAGTATAGAGTTATTCAAAACACATAAAATGTATATATATGAAACTTCTCTATGAGCTGGTGGCCTGCACACAGCATTGCACGGATAAAAATATACTACTTTCAATACACAGAGCTAAATACTTTCACATTTATCAGAATTCTCTACACAAATCTTAAATTGATAGAATTCAAGTTTTGACTTTTCAGTATATAGCTTTCACTTGTATTAAACAAATGCTTATTTACACGGTGGAGAAAGTAGAAGGGCTAATAAGGCCATATTTCCATATTGTATTGTTAAACACTGCAAAATATATACACAAGTGTAACCTAATATAGGCATCAGTTCTAGAAATATCACCTTACATTTGTACAACATAATTGAGTCAGTATGAAACGACAGCTTTGTTAGCACCAAGCCACTAATGGTTTTCATGGAACGTTTTGAGCTTTCTTCTAGTTCCATCAGGAAGGGCTGGTCAGCAGGGCTCTCTAATCGCTGAGCCAGGAAATTGGTGCTCTCAGTACCCCAAGTCCCGAAATACACTAACACCATTGCACTACAGTATGCAAATATACCTATTACCAGGCATAGGAGCAGCCACTACAACAGAGGCTCTTCGGTGTTTCTAAGAGACGCTCAAGCAGCAGAACAATTAAGCCATCTACCAGATCAAGTCGTCCACATCATCATGTCTGTTCAGGGTCTTTGTATTTGGATTCATGCTAACAAGCACAGGGTTAGAAAAGATTACTGACGCTAAGTGGTTTAGACCCAGGCGAACCCTATGCTGCAAGGGAAAAATGGGGGAAACTGGGCTCCACTCTGAATCCCAAAGGACAGAAGAGAACCCTTTGTAGCGCTCATCTCCTATGCCTGCTGTGGCCAGGGTGGTCTCGGTCATAACGATGACCCGTACGCTCATAGGAGTGGGAACGCTCATGTCTCTCTCTATAGTAGTGACTTTTCTTCTTGTACTTCCCAGAATGATCAGAACGCTCTCGTGAGTGGCTCCGGGAACGTGAGGAGCTCCTGCTGCGGGACTTCCTTGGCTTGTGTGTCGAATATTTGTAGTCCTTTGACTTTTTGTAACTCCTCATTTTAGAGCCTTTGTAACTAGCACTATGGTTGAACTGTCTTGGGGGAGAATCACTGCGACTCCTGGAGCGGCTGTGGGATTTGGAACCACTCGATGTTGAGTAGCTTTCACTTTTTCTAAGACAGGGAAGTAGAAGGAGAAGAGAACAGTGAGTGCCTTAACAATCAATGCCCGATTACTTTACAACATTAAAGCACACAGTAGGACAAGACAGATTATAGCAATCTTAGGTGCTACTTGGAACACAACGAAAAAAGGTTTTAGAAGAAAATGATTTGACACTGTCCTTTAAAAAGCCACCCTTACTTACTTGTAAACTACAATTCAGGTTGAAAGCTGCCCTCAGAATAGATCTTACAAGCAAAAGCATCTTCTCTAAATACAGAGCGCTACTAATCTGATTAGTTGAACCAGCAAACCTTAGAAGATATTTCAATTAGATTTTAGCTTTTGTCTGCATCGCCTGGCTTCAAACAGAATACTTCCCCAGCTCACACCCCATAACTCATTAAAACACAGTATAAGTAATTTCCTGTAGGACTAAAATAATAGGTAACATTTGTAATCATTAGATCCGTTGTTGAATGGGTAAAAAACCCAGATGCTTTGAAATGCTGAACAGTAGCTTTCACAACATATTTTATTAATAATCCAGAAAGAAATCAGCTTCATAATTACAGCAAAAGGTTTTGGAAGAATTTTAGATGTATGGACTTTGGGGGTTCCATGATTACCTCTCATGGATATCTACATACTTGTAAATTGAGCCAATTTACCATAGATTTTTCTCTCTAATTTGTAGCCCTGAAAACAACTTAAGGCATGAAAATCAATCGGTCTTTCCTAGCCTGAGCATCACCCCCAGTAAGAGGCTTTGCAGGCCAAATTTGGACCTCAGTTCTGTTTGTGAAACCCCAGTGTTTGGTACAGGGGGCACAAGATATAATGGAGGGAGAAGCTGAACATATTGCCATTCTGTTGATCTGAGAGTCAGAAGAGAACCCAGTTCCCTATCCCCCAAGCTTTGTTGGGTCTATGGTGAGGATAGTAAGAAGCAGTATAAACTTATTTTTGTCATTTAAGTCAGCAGAAAGGACTATGGGCACAAGGAGCAGATCTGCTGAGTAAGATGCCATTCATATGCAGTTATTCCTCTAATCATAACTTCACGTGAACCTACACTGGCCACCATGTTGCACCTCCATACACTAGTCTCATTTCCAGAGCTCAAACGGGGTTTCTGTTTTATATAAATTGCTGTAGTTGTTGCTTCAGAGCCCACTGACTCCCAAAGCACCATTCTCTGGGATGGTAGTTTGCCATTAGCATAGCAGGTTACAAATGGGACTCAGCACTTCCACCCATTTCAGTACGTACCTGCGCTTAGGAGATGCTGATCTAGATGGTGATCTTGAATAACTCTGCTCTCGACTTCTGCTTCCACTTCTGCTCTCCCTTCCTTTCTGAATGCTATGAAGGACAGAATCCAAGTAAGATTTAGATTTAATTGCTAGGAGAAAAAAAAAAAAAAAAAAAAAAAAAAAAAAAAAAAAAAAAAAAAAAAAGGTAGAGTCTATATCATGTGGAATCTTACCCATTCACTGGGCTGTTGGAATTCATTCTTTTTGTTCCATCCATTTTTCTTTTGGCATTCTTCATCGCCTGCACAGCAAGTGGGGAAGGTTTATTTCCTTTACCTTCTTTTGGAGATTCTAAAAGAAAAATGTAAAAGTTTACACTTCATCCGCCCCTACATGCGTATCAAAGAGATGTCAATCTTTAGCGGGCAACCCAATGATAAGGAGTGGCAAGCAGTAGTTGAATGGGTCATCTGCCCTCACTAATGAGGGCAAGGATCGACTAATTACCAGATCCCTCTAGATACCCTTTGCTGTACATTCAGATAAAGGGTGAAACTTGAACACCTATAGGTAAGTCACGAGTTATTCAAATCTAAAGTAAATTTCTGAGGCTGTAAACCTAGTACATTAAAAACAAAACCCCCAAAAACTTATCCTAAAACAGACTTTAAACAGTGAAAAAACCTTTAATAGAACTGCCTGAACCGGCATTTTATGTAATATGTCACACAATTTTCAATACCATGGAAAGGAAGATACTAGTGTATCTTCAAGAGGGCTCTGTTAGGCAAAAGATAGTTTCCAAACATGGTGCTCTGAGGAAAAAACTTTCTTTAAAGGTGTTACAACCTAAATCTGTGAATACCAGTTTATTTGATTCATTAAAAGGTCCAACTCTTTCCTCTTTGTTTCAAGGAAATTTAAATGCCAGATTTTTTTTGTAAAGGGAATTTTAACTAGCCAGAAGTAACTATTTTTTACACACATATTTCAGCTGAATAGAGAACAGGGCACTCTCCCTTCACACACAGCCATTCCTCCACCACCCTTCCCAGCGCATACAGTTACTGGAGCAGAAGCGTTTTGAAAAGTGAACACGTTGGCTCTCTCCACTAGACAATGCTTTTGCTTGTTCTCCCACTATAACAAATAGTTTCGTGTCATGTCCCAATGCTGCCTTTCTTCTAGCACACATACTAACATGAGGCCAAGAAAAAGAATGGGAAAAAAAATCTCATGAGGAGTTTGACTACCCCTTTCTACAGAGTGAGGACGCTGCAAAATAGCGGCATTTGCATCCTCATTTGGAATATAGACAGCTTAACAAGGAATACCTGCAATCTAAAATAGCCTGACTGAGACAGGATTCTTACTCAAGTTATGAAGTCACTGTAATACTCCCAAAATATGGGAGAAAGCAATGCAGTCCACATATGCAAACTAGGTACATTGACACCAACCATTTTTAGGAACAGGGGAAAACCCTGACGTGTTCTCCAAATTGGGAGTCTTGTCGGGTAGCAGACCTTTAGCTAGTGCTTTTGCCTCTTCAATGGCTAGTTTTTTCTTTTCTACTTTGCTTTCCAGATAAGACAAGTCAACCTGCAAATGCACATTAAAAAAAAAAAAAAAAAAAAAAATCAGTTCTCTGTACTGTTTCAATTGACCATCCATGCTTAGAAGAAGGGATACGACTCTCAGAGTCTGGAATCTGCTCCCAGAGAAGTGGGAGTTCTGCAATGGAAGCAGGATGTTTTACCCTATGATCTGAGAATACACATCGTATAAAACAATAGCGAACCTTTTTCCGAGTATATAGCTGAAGGATTTTTATACAAATCCCTTGAATTTCCTCCTCTGATGCTCCAAACAGCAGAAACCAGTGAGGACGATTAGGAAGTGGGATCTACAATTGAGAAATCATACATTCAGTTTTCTATTTCTACATGAAAACCTTAATGTAAACTTAAACGACAAAATATAAATAGATGTTTCACCTCCAATGTTCTAGCTGCAAGGTAGATACAGGCACAAGCAATACTTTCTGGCTGGAATCTTACAAAGACATCTGTTCGTAGACTGTCATTCATGTAATTCCTGGAAGACACAATAAGGGAACAATTGCAACCCCCTGCAGAATGCCTCTCTGTTCTATTCTCTTCAATTCTACAGTAACTACTTCTCTGTGCATTCTATTACTAAGCTCAAATGCTATACTCCTGTAAATCTGAAGAGACGTTAGAAAAATTTCTTCAAGGGGATGGATACGTGGTTGGGAATAAGTTTCTGACTGGCTGTCAGACAAATCAGTTATGAAAGAGAACCAATTTTAACTTTACTTTTCCCTCTAGATCTACTGGCCTGCTCTCATGCAAAAACAAATGTTTTTGTAGAGACCACATATAATCTGTAAAGAACTCAGTAATAGAAATCTAGGCTCAATCCCAGAGTGCAGAGAAGCATGCAAACTCAAAGCTAGTGTTCAAAGTTGCCGATCCTGCTGAAGTTCTCCGGAGAAATGCAATCCACTTCAGCGTGTACCCATTTCCACTGGAAAGTTTTTGGAACCTGTCCATTTTCCATTAGTGAGACAGCATCCAAGACAGAATCCATTTGTGATGCAAAAAGCTAGTCGTGGAAGAAATCCAGGTATTTGGAATCATCAGTGCAGAGGACGGTTCAGTATTCAAACAGATCTCCTCTTCTCTGGCATATGACAGTATCGTTTCCAAATGTCCCATTTCAACAAGGTTTCTTAAAATGAATATTCACAGAATGAGACAACTGTAAAATATTGCACATATTCCACAACAGTCAGTACATACTTTAAAATATTTTGATTTTAAATCCTCAAGGAAGTTTGTATTTTCAAAGTACTTGCATCTGAATTTGTCAACAAATACAATGTTTAAAGGTATAACTTTTAAAAAATATTTCTTTCAAGCAGCGTGTCAGGTGGGCAAGAGAGAAAACACCACCCAGAACAAAGGCCACCATATAGTTATACAAGCTTTCTGAGAAGAGTTTGAAATTGATCGTGGGGGTATGCAGCACACAAGGATGCCCAAACCAGAGCCCACAGCCCATTTAAAACCAGTTTACAGAAAGAGGAGGTGCTCATGAATCTCATTCCCATCTACGTGTTTTAGTCCTTTACTAGGTATTTCAGTTCTAATACACGGGGATCGACTGACCATTGGGAAAAAAGTGGCAAGTTAGAGGCTTAGTCTTGACTCTCCTTCACCTTGCCCACGAGGAAAGCTTAAACTAAGTCATGCTGTTCTAACACCGTTTTTTGCTATGGAGAAGACACTTTGAAGGAGATCAGAGAAAGTCTTTGTGAAATGAAGTGCAGCGAGAGAAGTAGTATTCACAAGGTATGAAGGATGACTGGGCTTCCTTTCCCAAACTGCTAAACAAAAACGAACTTGCTAACTATGCAGCTGGCCTTTTGGGCTCTGAGTTTGGGGGCATGTAGAATTAAACATGTGTCACATTACTTCAGCTTTAAGTTGTTCTCTAAAACCACTGCACTTCAAACATTAGTTATACTGGATACCCATGACTTTCCAGGTACTGGAAGCAATGAATGGTTAGGGAATTGCTCTAATAGTTATTCCGCTACATCCCAAACAAAAAAGGAAATTTGTGCCTAATAGTCTTACTTCACATGTGAATTCTGAATGCAATTCAGAAAATGTCCAGTGTCATTGCTGTACTTAATTCCAAACTGAAGACCTTCTACTCAAGTATTTTAAGTGTTGGATTAAACAACATACACAGATATGATAAAAATGGAAGTCTACCAGTTAGTTAATTCACCCAGAAGACTTAAATCCCACCTTAAATAGTTTTGGTTATTTTTGCATTTTAAAAAGGTACAGCATCTTTAACATAGTTAAAGCATATTAACATTAACAGTTTTCAAAATTTAAACAATCAAGTTCTAAAATATACAATAGAGTCAAGGGCACAACAACAAAAATCAAAAGTATAAGCACAAGAAGCAGTTGGCCAGTTACTATACTATCGTATTTATACCACCTGTCTAGAGTCAGCCTTCTCTTTGTAGAGCCTGCTTTGGTTTGACTGAAGACGCAGTTATCCCTGCACCATAGCGCTTGGGCAGCAGAGGAGAAGTCTTAGTCACTTACCCTCAGAGGCTACCCTTTGATTAAAAGAGTACAGAAAAGAAAAGTCAAAATAGGTTCTCCACCAAACAGATCACAGTACCAGAGAGTTCAGTCAGCAGAAATATGACCTTTAGATTCATTATTCCAATTTTTAAATTATGTCATTGTTTCATAAGTTACAAGTTTGTTACAATCTGGAATTTTTACTTCGATACCCATCCCCAAATGATTCTCTTCACTACAGTGAAGCAACAAGACAGGCAGAAGACGTTTCATGGCAAATGCAAAAACACTGAGTTATCCAGTCTTAGTAGCTGACATCTTGGATTATCCATGTGGATAAAAAGGATTTATGTCGAGAGTTCCTGATGCCCTTGTTGCAACCAGCAGCTCAAGTGTTGGGAAAGTCTGTCTCCCAGCATCAGCGACGGACAAGAACTGCACATATGATTTACCCAAAGAAACAACCACTTAACATTTTCACTTTAGAGGGAGGGCAAAGGGTAGGAGAAAAGGGAAGAAAGAGCAAGGGTTGAGGGGTTTAAAAGCTATCTTACCATTTAAGACAGTGCCTGAAACTTAGAGGCCGATCAACATTTGGGTAGTAGGTTGGGGCACTCCAGGAAACACTGGAACTGTCTATTCCACGAACATAGTTGTGGGCTACACCAATGTTGCCCAGAGTGCCTCAAATGACATATTTCTGCCACTGCCCTGCTGGTCTCGTATAACAAGATAGATCAACTTACCATGAAGTCTGGACCAGGTGTTGGTTACGTTCACATTCTAATACCTGAAGGTACATAACGATTATCTGGAAGATATGGGTTACTGAGTTATTATCAAGAATCTCTAGAGCCAAGTATTTAATTCAGAGGGGATGTCCATGTAGCATCTGCTATTCTGTTCTAGATTTTAACATTCTCAAATATCCACAGAGAGAGTGCTTGTAAGATGCCAAATGTTTACCTGGGTAGTTTCTACCTTCAATTACAAAAGAGAGAAAGAACAGTCTCCAAAAATGGCTGTGCACAGCCAAATCTGACCTTCCTCATACTCCTCCTCCTGTGCTCAGTCATCCTATTCATCTAGAAGTCTTGCCTTCCACTCAGTTTTCAAAATAGGTATGCTTTTCCTATAGAACTCAACATTCCTTTTTTAGCTGCCACATGGGAGGAAACACTGCCAACTGGAAAAAGTGGCACCAATCCACCACAAAGCACCTCTATTGGAAGGGACTAAACCTAGCCAACATTTCCCCCCCCTCCCCCTTTTGCTTCTGCAAAGTCCTACATAATAGGTTTAAAAGGTTCACAGCAGCATACAAAACAAAGTTTTTTTGTGAACCACATTGAAAAAAAGATGGTGGATAAAACAAAATGATTACAGAAAATTCACAGGGATTAGTGGGTGAAGGAGTACACTCATTCCTGTGATTGGTACCCCAGTAAATAAGGAGGCTCAGAAAAAATGGCAGTGGGCAGAGAAAGGTATCTACACATTTTTAATCAGGGGGCACTTGATCTCAAATTTAAAGAGCATTTACACTACAGCGACCTGAAGAGGTCTGAAATAGCACCCCATTGCTGCAAGACAGAGAGCAGATACCTGTAGGGCAAGGAAAAGGAGAACCCTTACACTACTTTAACCTTCTATTAGATTCAAACAGCAGTGCTGACCAGCTCATATGGGGAGCAGAGTCCGGCACACTTTGGGGAACAGCATTCCTGGGACTGAGAATTTCACACATCCCATCAGTAATATTATAATCAGAGCTAGATTCTACAAAAGGGATATTCGAGAGCCTTAGTCAAAGAGGAGTTATTCATATTGCTTCAGAATTTAACACCAAAATTACCTGCTTATTCAACAATAAGTTGTTTTCATGCTATGACAAATTGAAGAATCCAAGTACAGTTAAGTCTAACCAGTTCTTAACATCTGCATCCATCTCCAATCTTCACTGACCAATGAGATACAAGACCAACTATTAAGACTCTCTTGAATGAGAAACAAGATAGCAAGATCACTGTAAACTAGCTTCACTGTGTTCAGTAGTGTGGAACAAGCAGCTTTTAACCAGGTTAATAGTCTACCCAGAACAAGCAGAGTGTGAAACACACACAGTTTTATAAGTTAGCTGAATATCGTACAAACCTTATGAGGGTGCTTTACATGAACGCAGAACCCCAGCTCCTTTAAAACTCTTCTCTCTGCCTTGATGATTTGGTTCTTCAAATTAACATAATCTTGATCCAGTAGTAGAGGTACAGGTTTTCTGTAAGACATTATTTCAGATTCCATCGAGTAAGAATGAACTGCCAATATTAAAAGACACCCAACAATCTTACTTGGACACATGTGCAGGTTACTATATTTTGATGCAAACTAGCTAGTATTTACAACAGTACAAGCATTTTTGCAGTTAAGATAAAATAACCAGATTCATGTTTTGGTTTTCATTCCCCAAACAAGGTTTTACCCCATGTTCCTTGAGTCATGATGCATCTGAACTCCCCCATAGGCATAACAACAATTATGGCTAGCTAGGCTACTAAATTCAGGCTCTCATGTTCAGTAGTCCCCACATTTAAACAACCGGCCATGAAGAAAGCGAACATTTTTCAGATTCTAAACTTACTTTCTCTCTCTTAGATGTCGAAGGCGATGGAATACGTTAATTACATCTCTTATGCGTCTCGGTGCTTCTTCAATTTTGGATGCCAGATGAACACAGGCCATTGACACATGCTGAAATATAAGTATTGCAACATACTGATGTTTTGCTCAAATCTGGAACTGATCGCCTCCAAGAGCTTTAGGAGGGATAACAAGAGAAAGTGGTGGTAAAAACAAGAAATATTCCAAATTTTAAGTTAAGTATTTGTTACAATGTAGATGTGTAAAACTGTGTTTAACTAAACAACATATCTATAGCTCGAAAGTTTCCTGTACACATAGTTCAACAACAGGGCATAATACATGCTCTCAAACATGAGAGAAATCAAATGCATAGTGCATTTTCTAAAAGAATCCTTACCTCCATGGAATGCTTCACAAAAGATTTTGTATAAAAGAAACGTTGAAACAGCACCTGCCCTGTAGCCATTGCCACCTAGAGAGAAAGGAAGAAATGGTAATCCAATATTAACATCCCCATACAGGGTTCTAGAGCAAGATGAATTACACTACAACAAATTTGAGTCCCATAAAAACCATTAGAAATGCCTGACTCAGCAACAAACAGCTCACAAAGGGGGAAAAAAAAAGCGTATAACACCATAAACACCTAGAACTATAATGTGCAGTCTTAGACTAGACAATAGAAAAGTACCAAACAAAATATTTTATGGGGACACTCAAAAATAGTTATGAGGGTGGACGCTACAGTCTAAACGCCCCCCAGTGCTCCACCATCTATGCAAACACTCCTACTTGTTTATTTTTGGTTCTATGTTCGTTGTGCAATATTAAAAGGCAACCACCAACTCAAAGCGAGTCATTTTAACCATGAGTCAGCACTAAATGTCAAGCATTACCATCTACCCCCAAGCTCCCCAGCCAGCCTTTGTGGTTTTACAATCACATAGCCATATTTAAAGAGACTCCCTTGTTGCCATATTAAACACACTCATAGGCAAGAAAAGATGGCTAGAGAAATTAAAACAGCTAAAATAAAGATTATTGGTAGCAGCATTAGGCAATTTTTTTTTAAACGGAAGGTCTCATTAACCTTGTTTCAGCTATAGTGGCATTTTTGTAACCGCTCTCCCCTCCAACCATCATAGTAACATTGACTCTTTGTCCCATTTTCTTTAATGGGAGGGATTGACGCTCACCAGGGAAGTCAACTGGCGACACGTCATACGAGAAAGCAGTTAAGAAACCCCATTTGAAAGGCATTGCGAAATCATGTGCGTTACCACCCGCAGCAAAGAAAAAGCGTGAGGGGGGCATCTCCTTTTAGAAACGAGCGAGACTTGGCCGATCTACCAGGAAGGGCCCTGGAGGGCTGAGCCAACCCAGGCCCTGGCTTTACCGGAACAGATGGTTACATCATTCACTTCCTGTCTCAGCAGAGCCGGCCGGGACAAAGGGGGGGGGGGTGAGAGAGAGCCGGAATGCTGCCCGTAAAGGACACAACAGGGCCAGTTTCACACGCCCGGTTCCTTAGTAAACAAAAGGCCGGCGGCGTCTCGTGATCCCTGTTCCACCCTCCCGATTGCAAACGCGGCTGCGGGGCCCGGGACCGAGCCCGTCTCCCCCGATAGCTGCCGGGTCGCGCGTTACCTAGTTTCTAGGATTAAAGGGGGAGTTTGTGTGAGTGACGCAGCGGCCACTGGGCACCAGCAGACGGCGGGGCCCTGCCCGGAAGGGCCGGGAGAACAAAGCGCGACACTCCCAGGCAACGAAGGCCCAGCGCCCCCGGCTGCCGCGGGCCCAGAGCGGCTCCCCAACCCCCCCCTCCTCCAGCCCGCGCCGCCCCCGCCTGGGCCTCGTTCGCTCCCTCAGACCGGAAGCTGCTCCTCTCCCCCCCGCGAGCGTCTTTCACCCGCCGCGGGCCCGGCCCCGAAGCCCGGCTCACCTGCGGGAGCCGCAGCAGGATGCCGGCCGCCTGGATGAGCTCGCAGCCGGTGAAGCGCAGCTGGGTCTCGGTGTCGGGGTCCAGGCCGCTGCCCATGGAGGGGGTGAAGAGCAGCGCGTCGTCGGACAGCAGGCAGTTCTCCAGCGTGATCAGCACCCCCGAGTACAGCCGGTCCCCGATCAGCACCGCGCCGGGGCCCGGGGCGCCGCTCCCCGACGGGGCCGGCCCCGCCGCCTGAGGCCCGCCCGGGCCCCCCGCTACCACGGCCGCCGCGCTGCTCGTCCCCGCCGCCATCTTGGGCCGCCGCCTCACCTCTCTCTCGCCTTCCCCCTCTCCAGCCGCCGGAGCCGGGCGGTGTCCCGCCCATTTCCCCCTGCGCTCGCCTCCCATTGGCGGGTGACAGCGAGGCGCCGCTCTCGGATTGGCCGGCCTGCCCCCGCCGTGACGCTGGTTCTGCGGCCTGATGCAAGCGGCGTGACGCAGCGGTTGGGAATTCGAAACAGGGTGGAGCGGGCGGAACTTCCGGCGTGCCTCGCGCGCCCCCTCCCCCACCCAGACAAAGCCTGGCTCGCCTCCACCGAGCAGGCCCGAGCCAGCCCTTCTCCCCTCCAGCGGGAGCCCCCCACGGTGGGGGTGGGTTGAAAGACTCATTGAAACAGATGCTGGGGGGATGGACAGGGCCCATGAGAGAAATCTGGAGCCCCACTTCTTCATGTTCACTGGGGTCCGCCCCTTGCACTTACAGACAGTTGGGGGGCCCTGGGACAATTGCCCTCCCCACACATTTAACAGGAGCCTTAAGGGGTACTCCACCCACATTTTCAAGCTTTTCTCTGCTATGCTGGAGGGCAAGAAGCTTTGTTTCTTGACTCCAGCAGCCAGGGTTTTAAGTAAAACAAGTCTCCCAAGGCTCACCCCCAAAATCTTGAATTGGCAGCACTGACCAGCCTCCCCACAACTGTAGTTTTGTTATCTTGCACTGCTATGCCTTATAAGAGTTCAAGCAGTAATTATCTTCCACGGCAGCACTAGCACCTGCATTGAACAGACTCCAGCGCACAGATTTCACTGGAAGATATAGCTGAGTGTAAGCCTCCTTTTGCTTCAACTTTAGCTAGGCCATTTATAATACGGTGGTGCTCCCCTGAAGACCAGAGT